TCCATCCTAATAATAAAGGCTCTGGGCACGTCCAAAGCCCTTCCTGCTCATTCCTGGGCTGCCTCACAACCAAATGCACAGCAAGGAGAACAGCTCAGGGGGTCCTGTCACAGGGCTCAGGAATGCAGCAGGCCTGTCACCTTCATTACCCAGAACGACTTAAATCCTCTCTCCTTCAGCACGGGCAGGTCTGACAGAGGTGAGGGGACCTCGCTGGAGCAGACCCTGGGGCTGGTCCTCCAGCAAACACTTCAGCATGCATTAAGTTGTGTTCTCCCAGCTGACTGGGGTTATTTGAGTGCTCATGGTGAGGGACTTTGCAGAGTGGCAGCAGGGAACCCGCACCTGGGAGGGGCAGAGCTTGGCTGGCGCTGGGCAGGTCAGCAGTTCTCCATGTCACTCATCCCACCCTCCCAGCGGGTCCAGCACAGGCTGTGCTGGGGCCAGAGGTGCTCCAGACCCTCCTGGTGGCCACCCTGACACATTCACATCCCAAAATCACCACCAAGTAATCCCCACTGGTCTATATTGAGCCATTTTCTTCGCTCACTCCCAGTCTATTACGTTTTTCAACTCTCAGTGGAATTTTTTTTTTAACTCAAGGCCTCCTTCAAGCTGATCACAAGGGAATGCTGAGTGCTTGTTTTTTAATATTCTGACAGGTGCTATTTTGCTATTTGCTTGTGATGATTCAGGACATTTGCATCTCTTTGTCCTTAATTAAAAAGCACTTCACCCTTGCTGCAGGGGTATGGCAGATTTCTCTTGATCTATTCATTTTGGGGGACTTTTAATCAACATATCCACTCTATAGGTGCGGGTGCATTTCTGGGAAGGGGGGTGAAGCTTAGCACAATGTGGAGAGCTGTGTGGGTGTAATTATGGCTTGCTCTTTATTTTTTTTTTTGAGGGGGGTGAATTTGACTGCAGTTGAAAGGCATTTTCTAACAGTCTCCTAGAAGACAGGAGTCCCCTGTCCACCAGACACACGGGCAATGACAAAGACAAAATTTGCTGCAAAGCAAAATTTGCTGCGAGCTGGCAGAGCTGCCTGTGGAGTCAATGCTCTGCCAAGAGCCTGCAGACAGAGTGTCCCCCAGGTCACAGGACCCTCATCAGATCCCACTCTGCTTGCACAGACACGATCTGGCTCAGCTTATCTTCATCTCTGCACTGCAACCCCTCCTGCAAACACCCAGGGCTGGGCACGTCCCTCTGCAGAGCGTGGGACAGAGCTGTGTGTGCTTGCTGTGCCACGATGGGGTGCGTTTGGAGCATGCCCTGGATAACCTGTGGTCTCCTCCACACACACATTTTTTGCAAGGTGAAAGGGCAGCACCTTGCCCAGCAGGGCCTTTTCCAATGGCAGCACGTGTTGCCTTGGGCTACCAGGGAGGCTGAAAGTACCTGTGAGCCAAGGAAGGGATTCAGCAGCAGCTCAGCCGGCAATGACAAGTCCATAGTCTGGAAGCAGCTTCCACTGTAGGAACCTCCCAGGCCTTAGGGGAAGATGCAAGGAGAGAGAAGATCCCTCCATGGATGTGCCTTGGCTGAGGATGAGAGGGTGCTGGCGCAGCACTGTCTGCAGGGATGGTGCAAGGCAATGGGATGCAGAGGGGTGAGGCAGCCCCAGGCAGGGTGGTGGGAGCAGGGTGCTGTGCTGCCCTGGCTCCTTGCCATGAGAGCCTGGGATGATGGGCAGCTAACACCCTTCCTGGGCAACTCCTTCCCGAGGCAACTCCTTCCATCCCCCCAGTACAGGTAATTTCTCTGCAGGTCTTTCCACCTAGCTGGATCCCCCTCACAGGCAGGGCGGTGAGAAGGGCCTGCAGACCCTCCTGGGGTTCCTCATCCAGGGAAAACCATCCAGCCCCTCATGTGCTGCTGCTCTGGCTTGTCCCCAGCCCCATGGGGAAATGAGAACTGGGCTTTGCCTTGTGGACCTGAACCTACCAGGCAGCAGTGATCCCAGGGACGGGGTCCCAGGGGCTGGGTGCTGAGATCCTGTGACTGCTTTCGAATATTCCAGCCTTAACTCTTCTGTCTCCTCTCACAAAATACCAGGCTGAAAAACAGCTCCAGCAAGGCTCAGTGTTGATCTGTTCTGCTTTTCCAGGCTGGGGAGCGCAGGCTCACGGGAACCTTTGAAGATTATTTCCCTTCAGTTTTCTGAAGAGACTTCAGCCTCCTCTCAAATCTTTTTATTTTGCCTCCTTTCAACGCATCGGCCCGATTTCTCTGAGACTTAACAGCAATGAACAAGATTAAGATTGGAGCTTAGAAAGTATTAGGAGAAGATCTCTCATTCCTGATGTGCTGGCAATTACCAGACCCTAGTGCCAGCATCTCTCTTTTGGAGAGGCACTACGTGTGCAGGCGTTTCTGCTCCGATGGCTTTGGGAGTGCAGAGCTGGAGGGCACTGAGCGCGAAAGCCGCAGCTCACGGTGTCTGCTCCTTTGCACTTCAGCTGCCACTGATTGCTTTGGGCAGCCAGAGGGGCTGGGATGGAGGGGGAGAAAACCAGAGAGGAGAGGCAAGGTGGGTGCTGGACACAATGGCACCGGCTGTGTTGGCCGGACGGGGTCTGGATTTCTGCACGATGAGGGGTGAGGACTGTTGGGTTGGGAAGTAAAATCCCAGAGCAGGGGTGCCCGAGAGGGGCTCACCATGCCTGGCAGCCACAGCAGCACAGCCTGGGCTCGTGTGCAGCTCTGGGTTGATCTAGGTCAGTATTTCACGGGAGATCCAGAGCTAAGGAATAGAGCAGTGCTGGCATTTCTCCATGTGCTCCTGCGAGCACGGGCTGAGGAGAATCGTGGACGCTCACAAGGGTGGGGAGGTGGAAAGGGTACAAATGGCAGTGCCAGCAGTGGAGAACAACTGGATGGGGTCTGGACTGGGAGAGCAGCTCTGCTCTGTCATACACTCGGGAACAACACCCTGGAGGCATGACCATGGCAGGCTCTCAGGGTTAACTGTGCTCCTGTGTCCCACCTGGGCCAAGAGGACATGGAAGGAGAGGCAGTGCCATTGCCTCCCCCATCTGGGAGTGGGTAATAGCAGCACATCAGGTGGTCTGGCTCCCCTGCTTGAATGATGCTTTGGGGCAGAGGTGGAAGAGAGTCTGTCAAGCTGCTCCAGGGAAGGAGCAGACACTGCCCCTGCCCTGAGCAGGCTTGTGCTGGGGATCCCACATGCTGGAGGGGCAAAATGCATCAAGGTGTGCCAAGCCTGTTCTCAGCTGGTCACATCCCTGGTGAGCTCTTGCTGATGCAGCCCTGCTGGGTTGGCACCACAGGCCGCAGTGCCACAGTCCCAAGCACTGCCTCTCTAAAAAAACACAACAAAAACCTCCACAGTGTGTCCCTTGAGCTCAGGCACTTGGGAGAGAAGAGCATGTCCCAGGGGAAACACTGGCCCTTCACACTGGAGGAAATTTAAACAGGCCTTGGGAATGTCTAATAGCTCCCAAGAAGTAAAGAGGTGTGAGAAAATGGGCTCGCTGCTGGCATCCCTCCTGCAGCTTCAGAGCCAGGCCCACGACAGGGAGCAAGAAACGCAGCTTGTGTGACCCCAGCTCAGGTGGTACCTGCAACAGGAGGGACTGTGCTCTGCCTCAGCTCTGGGAGGAAAAGCTTCTTGCACTGTTTTCTCCACTTGTCAACCGTCCTGCGTTATCCTCGGGCTGACAAAATGTCAAGCTGCCAGGCAAACCACAGCGCTGGGGCGAGGGGGAGAGCGGAGTGCAGGGCTCGGATCAGCTGCTGGAGATGGCTGTAATTGAACATCTACACTCAGCCACAGATGAGCAGTTCCCATTATTTACTGGTGTATAAACATTCCCGAGACAGCGGAGAGAGAAGTCATTGAAATCCCCGCGTCCCTGGATAGAAATGCCTGAGGGTATTAACAATAAAAGGCAACTCTGCCTCCCTCTCTCCCCCTCTCAAATCTCACCAGGGGGGCCAGCAGGGGATGAGGTGCCCTCAGCTCTGCCTTCAGGGCTGCAGTACGGAAAGGGTCAGGCAGGGTCACTGCTGGCCATGGGGTTTTGGTGGTGAGCACCACCTTCTGCATGTGTTGGCTCTGCTCTCAGTCCCAGCGTGTCCTCTGGAGAGCCCTAAGATCAGGTTTTTCCCAGCTATTGAGCAACTCTGGGAGGAATCACTCTGTGAAATACAGTTTGCATCCCAATGACAGTTTTTGTTGCCTCCATGACCTCCCTGGCTCCTTTTCCCCTACCCTGTACTGCTGTGGCACAGGTTGACAAGGAGCTAGTTTATCTCCATCCAGAAGCAGACACATTTCTACAGTGAAGAGAAGCAGCTGCTCCTGTTCCTGCAGCTGCATGTCCCCAAAGTTTGTATCAGCAGTTGCACAGAATTTAAAATAATGGTGTTCTGCCTGGGAGTTATTCTGGGGGCTAAACTACCAGCTCACGGCCCTGTGCTGGACATACAAGGTCAGATGCAGGGATGGCATAGCTGCAAATTCTATTTGAAAAAAGTATTGAAACACCTGGTGCTCAATTTGCTGAGATTTTTCCCTTTTTTGTCCAGTGCTGCCAATTCTCTTCCCCTTCCCAGCCTTTCCCATGTGCGTTTTCTCTTTTTACGTTTCAATCCCTGGGAGGGATGTAACACATTCAACCCTGAGCTGGGGAGGGGTTCAGAAAGGCAGAGCCATAAAAGCGCAGGAAATGGCATCTTTCCCATCCCCAGGGTGACAGCAGGAGCCATGCTGACACACAGGATCAGATCACCTAGCATTTGGTGATCTCTTTCCACTAAGCAACTCATTTTGAAGAGGGACTGTCCACAGTGGAAGGAACTCCAGAGGCTCCTTCAGGCCTGACGTAGCAGCAGAGGATGAAAGTAAAGTTCTCACTCCTGTCAATGCTCTTGTCACCCTCTGGGACACCTTGCACCAGCTCCTGCTACGGCCTGGGCTGTCCTCCCACACCCTTCATTCTCCTTGGAAAACATACACGTCACATTTGTTCAGACTCCAAACACATTTTTTTAATCTGTCAGCACTGCAAGTTCACTCCAGCACCTAAAAACCACACTGTGTCCTGTCTGCTTCATCTATCATCGCTGCCCAGAAAGGTGGGAAGGCAGAGCCCAGCTGAAGTGGTTATTGATGTCATGTGAGCCCAGATGCAGCATCTGCTGCTGTGCCTGGTGAGCCTGAAAAAGACAAAACCTCGGTTATGTTGAACAAATGCCCTGATAGGGTGAACAAATGTTTCTACTGTGCAGGACATGCCCCAACTTGGAGAAAAGGGTCAAGGCTTATACAGGGGTTTTCATCCTCCAAGTTTCCCAAAGGGACCCTGTAATCAACTTCTCCTCAGATGTCCTTCCCCACTCTCATGCCAGGTCTGTCAGCACACTCAGCCTCAGGGATGCTGCTGTAGGAGACTCACAGCCCTACCAGCCTCTGCCTTCTGCCAGAGCACACAGCTCTGGGCATGGAGAGGATATCCATGGGAAGCCTTGGCCTTGGAACCTGCGCTGCTCCCAGAGGACGCACTGGGTAGGTGACAGCTGGAGCCCCAGTTCATTATCAGGAGGAGAATGAGCACCAAGGACAGCGGCTCTAACTGTGCTCTGTCCTCAGACCTGCAACGAGCAGCGATGGGAGGAGGGGAAGGTAAGTTCACCTCCATGCAGCCCTTCAGAGCTGTCTGCTGCATGGTCCTGGCAGTAGCTGCCTGAGAACACCCTGGCAGCTCCTTGTCCTGGCGTGCCCAGCTCTGCCAGCAGTGCTCTCAAGCCTGACCTCTCCCTGCAGAGCTCCGTGGGATGTGTGTCTGCCTGGGGTCCCCCAGTCCTACTCCTCCACACTTGGAGAGAGATCTGTCTGAGGCAGATTTTGCAAACGCCTGCGTTTTCTTAGAAATGAGCTCCTGAACACCTTGGGATAACACCTTTCTCCACTTGCATCTGTTTTCCCTCTGATGTGGCCCAGAAGAACAGTCTCCTTGGAGAGAGACACTCCTTGTCTTTGGCATTGCCTGAGGCAAGGAGTGACCAGCCCCTTTCACGGGGAAGAGGCAGGGAGAGAACTGCCTCCTGCCTTCCCCTGCTGCTCCAGCCTGCAGTCACACACACACACCTCCCCCCCGTTGTGGGAGCAGGCAGCACAAGTCCTGCAGAGGGGTTTTGGGACAGCACGGGGAGATTTGGACAGGCTGTGGATGTGCCCAGGCTCATCCTTCTTAAAGCACTGCCGTCCTCGCAAGGTTTGGGATCCTGAGCCAGGGCTGGAATTGTCTCCTTGTCTTCCAGAGCTAAATCCTGCAGTGAGGGCTGCACGATGAAACCCTCATTTGCTGTGGCAGCTTGGCCCCCCAGGCTCTGGGCTCATGAGGACTCTGTAAATAATAGGTTTTATTAGTTTGCCGGTTAAACTGAAATACCAGAAGGGATAAAAAGCATCTTGAATAAAACATCGCATCTCCTGTTTAAGTTTGGAATCCCATGACAGTAGACCTCAAAACAAATGTCTCTTCAAAGTGGAAAATAAGGGGCTGCTTCCTCCCAAAACACTGGTGCAGGACATTTTGTCCTCCTCAGCATGTGGGCTGAGGGTGTTTTTTCCTGGTCAAAATCAGTCACCATGAATTTGAAATGGGTTTCTCACCGGCTGAGCCTGTGCTGCTGATAAATAATGTGCTTGCTTGAAAAGCAGTGCTCTCTCTTCCCTCCAGCACCATCAACACGCTTCATTCTTACCCTTGGCCCAAGGAAAAGACTCGGTACCAGTTACAAAAAGAAACCACCGTAGATGAAGGAGAAGACCAGGGAGGGCAGCTGTTTGGATGGTCCTAGTGCATGCCCCTGCCTGGAAGGTGTCCTCAAAACAGCATCATAAGGGGACACTGTGATTCCCTAACACTGCTCAGACCATCTCCATCTCCTTGAGTGCCGGTCTTCCCCAGACCTCTCAGTTCTCAGGTAGCTGTAGGGGTGGTCAAAAGAAATCAGTCCCGTGAATTTCCCCACACACCACTTCACATCCTGCGTCTTGAGGGGGAGCTGAGAGCACATATATGAACCCCTGGGTTTTCTGTGATCTGCTCGTGACCAGAATCCTTGACAGCTACATCCTCCCTGCAGCTACTCTTGCGCCTTTCCCAACTTCAGCTTCATCTGGATCCCTCAAGAACTTCTAGAGCAATCCAGTGGTTTGCTTTGAAGCTTAAAGAGCTTTTTCCACCTTCACCGTTGCTTTGATATTCATTATTTACTCTTTTGACATGTGCTTCCTGTACACTCTGCCATCCCAGAGCCGGCTTCTTTGCATGCAGTAAAGGAAACATAATCTGCAGTTGCTCCATCAGAGGGAAATGCCATCTCAGAGCCTTGGTGCCTGCAGCTGGCTCCTGTGGCTTTGGGGCTGCTCAGATCTCATGCTTGAAGGCTAAAGGTGATCATGACAGGAATCAGCAGGGGAGAGAGCCTCGAAAACCCACCCAGCTGTGCTGCTGTTATTGATCACTTGTACTCCTGGAGCACTCCAAGGCACCAAATTCCCATTTGTCATGGGTGCTGCCAGACCTCTGGGAGATGCAGGACCAGGCCCCTCTGGCGACCATCTCCTGCAACTCAGCCTATAACCACATGACAAAAGACAATTATTGGTACCTCATGTAAATCTAACAAAGTTTGTTCCGATCGGCTCTCACCCCAAACGGATGCTGGCAGTGAAAAGAAATGCTCGAGTGCAGCTTGGCAAACTGTAAAGGCAGAGAGCGACAGGCTGGAAGCCCACAGCCCACTCACGACCCCCCAGCTCCTACCCACGCACCCTCCCGGCTGTTTTTGCGGGACAGCAGCCCCAACAGGTGGGAAAGGACCCTCTCCCTGGCTGCATCTCCCTGGCAGCTCAGCCCAGCGGGGCCTGACGCCTCGCGTATTTTAGCGATAATTACCCACTCTTTCTTTTTTTAGACAAACACCCCAACAGTTGTGCACGGGAAAAAAAAAAAAAAAAAAGAAAAAAAAAAAGAAAAGACGAAAGAAAGCGAGTATTAAGAGAAATCAAACGCCTTGTTACGCAGAGGGGGAGCGAGCGCTCCTCGCACCAGCTGACGGTGCTCGCTCCCCGGCAGCGCGGCTCCGGCAGATGCGCGGGTGCCTCTCGGTGCTCCCCCCCGCCGGCGCCCAGCCCCGGGGGTGCGGGGGAGGCCGGCCCCTGCGCGGGGGGGTCGGACCCGCTCCGAGCCCCTCCCCGCCGCGGACCGGAGAAGAGATGCCCAACTTTCCCCTCGGTGCCCGGCGGCGCGGAGCGGGGCGCGGAGCGCGGGGCCGCGCGGGCGGCGGCGGGGCCGGAGCGCGGCGCATCGGGCAGCGGGGGGGCCCCGCGGCCGCCCCCGGCCCGGCCCCGCGCTGAGCCCCGCCGGGCGGGCGCACCGCCGCCGCCGCCGCCCCCGGGGCCGCCCCTCGCCTCGCCGAGATGCCCGGGACGGTGCTGCTGCTCTGCCTGGCCCTCGGGCCGGTCCTGCGCGCCAGGTGAGCCCCCCACGCCCTCCCCGCCGGCCGGGACGCCCCCTCCCCGCCTCGGTTTACCCGTCGGGGCAACGGGAGGGGAGAGGGCTGAGTCGCGGCACCTCTCCCCGTGTCCCCTCACCCCACCACCCCGGCTTCAGTGGGGGTTTGGGCACCTCCGTGCCCCCAGCGATTCCTTCCAGGCGGCCTCGAGGCAGGATCGGGTCCGGTCGCGACCGCACCTAATACCTGCATGTCCTTTGCACTCCGGGCTCCCCTTGGCATGCCGGAATCGAGAGGGCATCCCGTTTTCCACGCCGCCATCACCTCGCTGGCTGAATCCTGCCGGGGGCTGAGCCCCTTCTGAGGGTGTCCAGAGCAGGACCAGAGGGAGCTCGGCACCTCCTGGGACCTCCATCCGTCACCGGGGCATTTCCACGTGCAGTCGGGCAGGGTGGGAAGGAGCTTGCGTCCCCTTCCCTGCGCTCCATCCCCTGGCACCCCGAAGCCCCCGCAGGGCTTGCAGCCTGGCAGGAGGAGGGGGCAGCGCGGGCTCCTGCCTTGCTCTACAGGTTGGCCGCGGGTCCCAGCTCTGGGTGCCGGCCGGGAGCCACCCCGATGCCCCCCGTGCGCTGGGCGAGGAGGCGAGCGGAGGCAGGGGCTGGCAGGTGACACTTTTCTCCCTGGGCCAGCGGTTCGTAGCGCTTTTCTGTAAACAGCGATGAAAGGGCCCACGCACAAGGGGTTTTCAAGTTTCTTTTTCCTTTTTTTTTCTGTTTTTTTTTCTTTTTTTTTACAATTCCTAGCCCTGCTGATGAGTTTAATGGCTAGATGGGGAAAGAACATGTTGTCAGCAGATTGTTACCCCCAGGGCTTGGGGGAAGAGGGATTTTACTGGCTGAAGCTAATTGGCAGAATAAGCCGCCTTAAAGCCGATCAAATCCCATTACAGATGCAGTCAGGGACCGGGAGCGTGAATCCTGCTACTAATGGTCTGCTCTGCCAAGGCTTCCCGACCCTGGGTGCAGGCAGAAATTCCATCGCTGCCACAGTCCTCCAGGGCTTGGCCTTCCCAGGGTCGGGGCAGCGAGAGCTGCCCCACAGCTCATGCCCTGACACCCAGGCTCTCCTGTGCATGGACACAAAGCCTCCCGGCAGCGTGGTGGTGCTGGGGGGCATTTGAGGGCTGAGAGGGGGATGGATCCATGGTGGTCCCGGTTCCTGTGCCCTACAGTCTCTGCAGTGCATTGCCATGAGCCCTGCATTTTGAGAGGGTGAGTGGTAAGCTGCAGGATCACATGGAGGAGCAATTAAGTCCTGTATTCACGTACCCTTGAGCGGGAAGGTTCACCCCACATCTGGCCCAGCTTCCCTTCTGCCCAGTCCTTCATGTCTGCCTTTTCCCTGGACCCTGCTTTGCCAGGAGCAGTGGCTGTGAATGTTGGGGGGGGGGCATGGTGGAGTGGGAGAGGAATCCTGTGAGAGAAGGAGAAAAGGAGCAAGGATCTTGTTCTGCATTCACTGCATTTTTCCTGTATGCAGTTTGTGGAGGGTGAATCTCCTCTGCCCTACACATTTTGGTAGGTGCTGGGGTGAGGAGCACAGTTCAGGTGCTATGTGTGAGAGATCTTCTCCTGGTAAAAGCAGCAAGATCCATCTCCTGGCACCAGAGCAGGCTGGATACTTTGTGCCAGGTGACTCAGCACTCCCCAGACAGTCCCCCCAGCACAGAGCCTAATTCAGTGTTTCCCAGGGCACTGCCTGGGCTGGGATCAAGGCACTCAACTTTGAACCCTGCACAGCATCACACCACAGGAAAGCTGGGCTTGGCAGGTGGTTGAGATTGTGCAGACTTGACCATTGGGGCTTCATGGAATGTACTGTAAAAGGAGAGGTACAAAGATGTGAAATTTTGGTAGGGGGCTGTTTAGTGAGCCCCCTGTCCTTTAATCCTCTGCCCACTTCTAATTCAGAGTAGTCTGCCTGAATGTCCCTGTGCCTACAACCCTAGGAGGCATTGGGATGGGTGACTAGAAGGACACATTAGCATGTGGTAATTAGAATTGACCACAGTGCTTTTCAACCAAGGGAAATGTTGTTCTTGCATTTTGCTGCTGTCTGTTCCTCAGGAACAGGGGAGACTTTCAGCTGTGTTTGCAGAGGGGCTGGATACAGCCCCGGGATCTGCATCTTCCCTGGGAGGCTCCTGCCTCAGGGCTTGCAAATAGTAATGGGTGTGCATCCTAGACAAGCACCACCAGCCGTCCTACCAGGCAAGGAGCAGAAGTGCCTTCAAGGGCTCATGGCACATGTTGCTCTTCCCCTCCTCCTGCCTGACAAGGGAAACCTTGTCAGACAGCTGAGGCACTGGGGTAGGGAGCCAGCCACCAGCTCTTCAGGTGGCTTTGACCAAGAGTGTGTTGGGAAACCTCAGCAAAACAGGTGTCTGCTGGAGTAAAACAGGCTCAGGGAGGCAATGCAGAGCACTGTCCTGCTGTAACGCCACGGGTTGCCCAAGGGGGGTTGTCCAACCCCATCCATTTATGTGAGCACATCCGAGAGGACAACTCCCTGCCGTGCAAGCCTCCTGCTCTGGGCACCAGCAGGAGCTGCCACAGCCCCAACTGCATCTGTCAGACCAGGGATTTCCTCGCAAGGTCCCCAGTTCTGCCCTGCTGTCACCCCCCCCAGCCCAGCTCCTGCCCACACTCTGGCTGTGTCTCATCCCCAGGGCCCCCACAGGAGGGCTGTGAGGAGGGGGTTTGACATTTTAATAAGCAGAGGTGAGGAAAGATGGCTCTGCCTTTCCTCCTGGCTGCACAGAGACATATGAGAACTGGCTGTCCCCTGTCACCAAGCCAGTCACTTTGTGCCTGGAGATGGAGCCGCCAGGCCAGCAAGTGTTCACAGCACGCTGGGGATCACTGCAGGTCTGCACTGTGACATTTCCATTAGTAGCTGGAGGGGGGATGCAAATGCCACCTTAATACCTCTCCTCTGCAACAGATCTTGGACTCTTCCAGTCTCAATTTAAAGTGGGGCCACCAGGAAGAAAGACTGGGGAGGAGGCAGTGGCAGGAGAGTCACACTGTTGACCAGCAAGGGCTGGTGTGTGCCTATGGGTGCACAGACAGCAAAAGGATATTTTCTCCAGAAAAAGCTGGCTTGCTTATGCTAAGATGGCTTAGTATGGTTTAGTCGACCAGGATTAGCTGCATTAGCAAAAAGCATATTTTTGGTAGTGTCACTGCATCTGTAATAGAGATATGACTCCCTGGAAATGCTAGCCCAAGCCTTAGGATGTTAATCAGTGACACTAAATGGGGGGAAGCCAGGAGACTGAGGGCAGAGTAAGCAGCCTGGGCTTGTTCAGCCTCAAAAGGGATGTTTTGGACTCTACTTTAGCCTTATGTCTTGGAGGAGCTGCATGTTTGGCAGAGCAGTGGGACATGCAGTGTTCAGTACCAGCAGGTGACTGGGCTGACTTCAAGTAGGGTCAAGGGACCAGTGACACAAGGTTTTGGTGTAGCTGTTCCCACTTTGCCAGGGACAGCCTCCATCACCCAAAACACTGGCAGCAAGGGAGAGCAGTCAGCATTGCTTTCCCCTGCCCTGAGCCGCGCTGTGGGCTCGTCTCCCTCTTTGCTTCCCGCAGGAGCAGGGCCAGCCGCACACTCCAGCTCCGCGCAGCTTTTGGGTGATCGCAGAGTGGTCCCCTGTTCCTCCTGCAACTGCTGGAGACTCGGAGCTCCTCTGCTCCGCTGCGTTTTGGAGAAAGCACTCCAGAGAGAGAGCCAGGCGAGCCCTCGCTGCCGCTGCTCGGATGGGGAGGCGCATCCTGACAGCGTTGCTTAACACTCCTTAAGCATCGTTAGAAAGTGCAGCGCAATCAGACAGGAAACAAGGAGCTGATGTACCAACACCTAATGTGCGGCGGCAGGCAGCCAGCTGCGCGCAGCCCAGCCCTCGTCGGGGGACGCATCCCGGCGCCTGCAAGCTGGGGAGATGCAAAGACTTTTAAAGTGATTGTGAAAGCACGTTTCGTCTGGGGTTTTAAAAGAGGAGCATCTGATAAATTGGCCGCAACATGTCAATTTGATGCTTCCCCCCCCTCCAAGTGCCTTTGCCAGGCTGTGCCTCCCCAGGCGCTGGAGGGAGATGTGTATCCGAGATGTGTATCCGCGGTGCCTCATCGCACCTCGGAGCTGCGAGGCTCCAGCTGGGAAGTGTCAACACAGTGGCAGCTCCCGCTGCGAGAGCCTTTCTGGCGCTGGAGCAGGTGACACGCTGGCATGGCAGACGTCGAGGGGGGTGTGCCGGGCGTGGGATCGCTCGGCATCCTCTCCCACATATGGCTGTGTCATTCCGGAGACAATCTTGTGAATGAGCTGCCCAGAGCAGCGGCAGGTGGTTAGAATTTCCCGGGTGACCATGTGGACCTAATCTAATTAGACGGTTAGGAAAACTCCTTTAGGAAAAGGGAGGAGTGAGAAAGGTTTAGAGAGGGCAGATTTGAAAGGCAGTGAGAGAAGCTCTTGCTAAGTGGATCATGTCCAAAGGAGGATACAAGCTTTCGTTGCCTGGCTTGGAATCGGAAGATGGGGAAGATGGAACATCTTTAAATGGGAGCTCATGCCAAAGGCTGGGGAGGAAGGGTTGGTGAGGGCAGGCAATGGGTTGTGGCAGGTCTTGGCCTGAAGGCAGAGGAGTTTGCATAAGGCTTTAATTTCTGAGGATCTGTGCAGGGCAGATGGCTGGGTTCCTGGCATGCCAGATATACATGCTGCCTGCTTGGTAGTTTTAGGACCTCCTTTTCCCTGAAATGCTTTTATTGTCAATGCCTTGCTCCCCAAAAACACTGTTTTGTCACTGTCTTCTTCCTCAGAGGAAGCCTGCTTCAGGTGTCAGCAGCAGGCAGAGCAGCTCAGGTATTCAGGGTTAACAGGCAGCTCCAGGAGCAGGAGCTGCTGGCAGCAGGGAAGGGACAGGAATGGGATGAGCAGGAAGGCAGCGAAGAGCAGGGACTGGTTCCCACATCTCGGGGCTGAGCAGTGTGTCTCCAAAGAAAGCTGAGGAGGATGTGGAGCACCTCATGCCTGCTAGTCTTTACCACTGGTGATAAGGCCCCTGCATGTCTGGGGACCTTGAAGTGAGCAAAGGTACCAGGTGAGTTGTGTCTTAGCAGTGTGGCTGAGAGGAGATCCCTGAGCTCCTTATGCTCTGCCTTTTAGCTGCTCTGCATCCTTCTCCCTTAGTATCTCCAAAACACAGCTGTGCCCCTGCTCCCACAGAGCACCAGGGAGCTGCCACAGCCACATCTCTGTCCCTTTGTATCTCCACTCCAGGTGTGAGAGCACAGAGGAATATGATTACGATTACCTCAGCATCAATAAAACCTGGGTCCTCACCCCCAAGGCACAGGAGACTGATGCCACACAGATCCTCAACTCGCTGCTGAAGAACTATGACAACAAGCTGAGGCCCGACATTGGCAGTAAGTGTCCCCTGAGGTTCCCTGTGGCCAGGGGTGGTGCCTGGCCCGGCTGTGTCTTGTGTTTCCTGTGCTTTTGTGACTGCTGTAGTTGTGATTTTTGGGGTGATAGAGCCGTGCTGGTCCCAGATGCTCCCCTTGTCCT